TTGAAAGACTTCCCAGAACACAGCGATTTAAGTCACAGCCCTGTGACAGGCAGCCGCATGCAAAGGCAATGCAGCCAGCTCCCCTCCCCTTCCACACACCTCCTGCACGGAGAGCTTGTGCTCTGCTGGTTTTCTAATAACGGGACACAGTTGGCTACAGGCTTTGGGGTAAAAAAAAAAAAAAGACTTTAAATCTCAGCTTCTTCACTCAAAAGCCACATGCCTCAGAAAACCAGCTTAACCTCCTGTGTCTCAGTTTGCTCATCTGTTAACTGGGGATACCCTTGTCCATCTGCTAGAGCTGTCGTGAGAATACATGAAGTTACGCATGGAGACCTACAGTACAGCAGCCAGCACAAACTCATTATACATTTGCCCTGTCCCCACAAAGAGTTCTACCCGTCCATTCCAACCCAAATCCTTTCAGGAAGCCATGACAGCACCTGCTGGACGTCTGGCTGGGCTACTGATGTGGACTGTGGCTGTGCATGAAGTAAAGCCAACTGACCCATAAAGGGTTCAATCCCATGATCCTGATCTCAATAGCACAGCTCCAACCAGCTGAGCTAATTACGGTAGAATCCGATTCATCTCAGCTTGCACAGAGATGCTCTCAGCAGTTCATACAACATTCTTAAACAGTTTTGTCCTAAGATGCTATGTGACATACCACATTTGCCAACTTTACTAATGATCTCATCTTTTAAAAAATCTTAATGTAATGTAGCAAACAGATGTGTCACTTAAGAGGATTAAGGTGGAAATTCATTAGAGCAATAATGCCAGTGGATTTGTGTTCTAAAACTAACAGCAGTCAATCAACTCGGCGCACACTCCACCTTAGCATTGCTCGGCTTGCAGGAGAACCCTGGAGAACTGGACAACCAGTCTTTCCCTTCAAGGAAGTTATCTGAGAACATGGGAGACAGTGATAACCCCCACATACTGAGACCTGACCTGTATGACCTTTAAACCACACAGCTCACACCGCAGTGTGCACAGGAATCACCAAGGCATCTTGGGAAAAAACGTACTTTCTGGTTCAGCGGGAGAGGAAGGAGGCCTGAGAGTATCTATTAAGAGCCTGGGTGAGGTCCAGCCCAGACTTGGATCCCCAAGGTTCTATTACAGGTAGGAGATCTGAGCCAGCAAGGTAACCACAAAGACAAAGGTAGTGAGAAAGAAACGAACACAGCACAGTCAAGGCTAATTCAATCAGAAGATGGAACTCTGGCCCGTGGACAGGCTGCCGGGGAGGACGACATTCCAGGCACGGAAGGGAGTCAGTAAGAGCTCAGACCTGGGGTCAAATTCCAATTCTGGAACTTCCCACTCACATGATCAGGTGACTCCCTTCTGCTCTGGGTCTCCTCTGCTGTGAGATATGACGGTCCCAGTACCTGGCGCATGGGGAGGTCATGAGCGTGGTGAATGATGGGCGTCTAGGACACAACAGCTCCTCTTACTCCCCTTCCCAGGCCACAGCAGGCACCCGGACATTTCCGGAACCAAATTACTGAGTCATGCTTGCCATTTGGACACATAAGTCAATCATTTTCTTTGTAAAAATTACAGTTTTGTCTATCAAAAAGAAACATGCATCCTTACGGCCTTAACTTCAGTGTCAATCCATAGGAACACATTTAAACTTTGAAAGGTCTGCGAGTCCATTAATTCTACTGCATAGTTTCTTTCTACACCAGAAGTCCTGTAATTACAATTTTTTTTCTTTTAAAACACTACACCAGAAATAGATACCTGTTTATACAACATTTGAAAACAAAAGGCCACACACCTAGTCCAGTCAAAACATATAACCACCAAAATGAACATCTCCCCAGTGAGAATACAGCACCTGTTTTGACCTTTTTATCGAACTAATCATTTATTTAATCATTTTCCCTGGAACTACTATAAAAAGCTGGGGTTATTTTTTCTAATCTACCAGTTTGAAAAAAAGAAAAGATATGGCCTAAGGGCAATATATTGGTTTTTTGTCTGAGAAAATGGTTTCATTAAATGCACAACTAACTCACTTCTAATGGAGTCAGCAGACATGAGCTAAATAAATATGTCCTCCCGTTAAGAAAAGATGTGTAGATTCAAGTTGTGGCACGAAGGACCTGAGAGGTTATCCAGTTCAAAGGTTCCCAGGACAGGAAAGTCCCTAGAGAACTTGACAAATTGGGACCCTCTGCTGGGGCCTTCCAAGGCTGGTTACACAGGTGTGTTCACTTACTGAAAACTCATCCAACTGCTCCCTTATGCCTTGTGCACTTTTCTGTGTGTGCAATCCACTTCACACGAAAGTCTTCTCCCCAGGGACTTGTATGTGCAGGGTGGCTGAGAGCACGGAGCGCGCCTGCCTGTTCTGCAGCCGTGCTTCTCCCCTGTTTCCACCACCCAGAATGCTCCCCCACCTGCCCGGCAGTTCCTTCTCTGCCAGGCTGGGCTCCATGGGACCTGGCAGAAGCTCTTCCAAGTGGCCAGAAAAGCTTTACCTATGGCTTTATCCACTCATTCACCATTAGCCAGTTCACAGCAGGCTCAGAGGCTGCTTATCTCTGACTGCGAACTCTACCAGGCCAGGAATTCTACCTCAAGGCTCTTACTCATGCTTGTAACATTCATTTACTCCAGGCCAAAAAGCACAACACCTCGCACAGGAAGGTGAGTAGGTGAATTACCCAAGTTAGTGGAACAGAAGCCTCAGGTGGTATGGCTTCTGCCCACAGCCACACAGCTGGTCCAGGGAGCGGAACAGCACTGGGGTCTCAAGTCACACAGGCCTCAATCTCAGTGCCCCACTCCCATCGGAGAAACTAGGTTAATTCATACTCTCTGCTTCAGTTTTCTCATCTGTAAAATGGGGATATAAAAGTCTCCACTTCCCAGAGGTGTGTGGTAGTAAGTGAGATCATGCACGGACATCTCCCACAGAGCACATACCAACATGCCAAGTGCTCAAAGTGTCCTAGCTCATTCCATCACAGGTGGATCATCCAATTTTAAGACTCTCTGTTGGAAATTAACCATCATTTTAAAAGATGAAAGTGCACTTAAGCCTACAAATGCCCTGAATTCTGCTCTTCGAAACCCGGGCTAACAGAATCAGCCACTCACTCAGCTCTACAGGCGAAAAACAAATGCCAAACATGCAAATACACTGCAGCAGTGTTTGGGCAAAAGGCTCTGAGACTAAGGCTGGCTGGCCCCCAAGACAAGACATCAAGGGTCCCTGTAGGATGTCTTCTGGGTTTTCTTTTTTCCACAAGGGACACCTCAGAAAGGTCTGCGTGAGCTCATGCCACTGCTGTGCTGTGGCTTCTAAGGGGATGGGTGGTGGGGAGAGCAATGCTGAAGCATTGGGATGTCCTCCTACCAGACCAGGAACACTGAGTCAAAGACTATGGGGCTAGTCAATGGAATCATAAAAAGGTATTTCAGCTTCCAGCTTGAAAGGTCAACCATGCATATAGGGTATGAAATCCAAGGAAACCACTTCAAGGTCACAGGACCACAATTATGTCTTCTGCGGCTTCAACAAAAGATGACTGCAATCAGAAACCATAATGAATGGCGTATCATAATGCTGAAGAGGCCTTTCAAAACTTTCAGTTTAACCCACTTACGGAGAAGAACCAAATAGTTTATAAAAGTGACTCTGATAAGCTGACTCCACTGTACATCATTCTGTCCATCTCCCAATCCAACCTGCTTTTATGGCCAGAGAGGTTCCTAGGAACCGCGACTGCATCCCTCCCGCACCGCCACAGAGGGAAAGAGACAGAGCTGCCCCATCCCTCATTCCTGCAAACCCGTCACTAATTAAGTAGCAGGGGAAGCACTGATACACCACTAATAGAGAGAGGAAAACACCCTTCCAAAGTTCACCGGTTTCCACACCCAACCTCCCGCTCTACTTCCAAGGCAGGTGAACATCACACAGAAATCTAAAGAATTTTTTAAAATCAGTTTTGTTATTTTTGGTATCACGGGTTATCTCTTTGACATATTTATCAATGTTGATCCTCAAAGGATACATCATCTCCAACCTTCGATATGGACCCTAAGCAAAAAAATAATAAAAATAAAAATAAAAATGTACCGGGGAAATAATTCTTCAAGCTGCAGTCAATCTGCTTAAGTGGGAGGAAGGGTTCTCCTGGCTAACTAAATGGTTAGCTTACAGTGTTCGGCTCTTTGCAACACACACTTTTCAAGACGCCTGCCTCCTGCAAAGGGTTAAAAAGAAAACTCTATCGGGTGGACTGAGAAGCCATTCTTCCCCGGGGACACTGATTTGGGGCTGCGAGGCTCAGGCTTTGTGCGCGTGCCGCCCCTGCGCGCCCCCGCCCCTCCTCCCACAGAGACTGCTCCTCCAGGGTTCCCAAGGCCACCTGCTTCTCCTAAGAAAAGGGGACTACACCCAGCGCTATCGCCGTGCACTGTCTGCGTCCCAGGCGGTGCCCCCCTGGGTACAAGGGGGGAGAAGGCGGAGGTGTCTCCTGGGAAGCGTTTTGTGGCGAGGGTCCGGCGACCTCCCGCAGCTGCCCCAGAGGCCTGAGAGGTTTTGTCCCGGGCGTCGCTCAGGGTCCTCCGGGGCCCGGGTTCTTTCTGCGCCCGGCTAAGCACCCGCGCGGGTACCGAGGCCGACTGCCGGTGTCCGAGCCGCACCCCGCCCACCCGTCGGAGCTAACGGCGCGGTGTCCGGGAACCTTCTCCATCCCGCCGCGGGCCGGCGCGGCACCTGCTCAGCCCCGCCCGCCCCCGGCTCCGGGCCGGAGAGCGGGGCTGTCCTCCTCGTTCGCCCGGGAGGTCCGCGCCAGCCGCCCGGTCCAAGGGGCCACTCCGCCTCACGGGGAGGGGGTAGGTCTGCCTACGGGCGCTGGTCGCCCGGGACGGCGCCCCGACCAGCCTGCCCACGGCGCCCCAACTCCGGCGCTCCCCGAGGCAGGGGCTGCGTCCTGGGGGCCCTGCCCACCCGCGCCGGGCTGTACCTTGTGCGGCGCCCGCAGCAGCCGGTGGACCCCGGCCAGCTGGGTGCCGAGCGCGAGGTCCTCGCGGAACGTGAATAGCGGCGGCCGGCTGGGCTCGGGGAAGTTGGTGCTGTTGAAAGGATCTGTGTCGTCCAAGAACTGCACCCGGCAAGCCAGCGTGGCCATGATGCATCCCTGCTCGGGGGCACGCGGGCCCCGGAATCAGCGGGGCCGCAGGCCGGGACGCCGGGGTCACGGTGGGCCGGGGAGGCGGCGGCCGCTGCTCGCTGGCTCGCGGGCTCGCAGGCTCCGGCACTCGGGGCTGCAGCCCGGGCTCCGGCCGCGGGGGGGCGGGGCGGGGCGGGGGCGGGGCCGGCGGGCCCCTCGTCCCCTCCTGCTCCGGCTCCTCCCCTCCCGCGTCCCCCTAGCTGCAGGCCCGGCTGCCCCTACCGACTCGACCCGCCGCTGGGAACGGGAAGGGGAGAACGGGTGGCACAGCATCCGCAGCCCTGCTCCGAGGCGGCCGACGGCGGCGGGGACCACCCCCTCGGCGGCGGACTCGGGCAGCGCGGACACCACTGGGGCCGCCGGCTGCACGTGCACCCCGCGGCCTGGGGAGCCCCGGCCGAGCTGCACCGCTAAGGGCTCCGGGAATCAGGGCAGGGGGCGGAGGTACCTGGCTTTTCACCCCTCGGGGAAAGGGCTTAACCCTTTCCAGATCTAGGCAGCGGGCTGCTGCCCGAATTCGGAAAACCCCAGCTGGGCACCAGGAGGTGAGGGAACCGGCCCCGGCAGCAAGCGGGGTAGTGGCAGCACCTGGAGCCCAGGCGAGGTTTTCCTTGGGGAGAAGGAAACTAAGAAGGAGGAGGGGGAGCCGGGGACTCAGGCCGGTCTTTTTAAGAGACAAGCCCAGGGCGCGCCACGATAGAGGCCTAAGAGTGCGAGGCTCCGCTTCGGGACCCCAGCGCCAGGCCTGGCACAGAGGATGCCTGGTGAGTGCTGGTCGACCGCTGCATCACCGCGGCCTCTTGCCCAGTGACGTCTCCGAAAGCCCTAACTGGACCGCGGGGACCGCTTCCACGAGGTCACCGAATCGCTGAGGGGCGGCGCAGAGCTAGGGACCCGCTGTAACTTGGAGGGAAGGTTTGCAGCTTGCCCGCCTCGGCCGAGCGAGAGCAGCGAGAATCCTCTCCTTCCCACCGCTTTCCTCGCTGCTCGCGGGCGACCCCCCTCGTTTCCAATAAAAATTAACTGTTTTCTCCATTCCAGGCTATGGCCAAGTTCTCCGTTCTTCGTATCTTGCGCAGCTCTCATGGAAATCTCGGTTCTTCATATCTCGTGTAGATCTCACACGGATAACTCCAATTGCCCTCAACATCTGCCTCTTCACAAGAGGACTCTACAACACGGCTCTCTCCCTTCTGGTTTCAAGAAGGTGGCAGGGAGCCTGTCCCGTACTTTGCTCTTCACAGGCCCCTTTAACCTTCCGTCTCCATGGACTCTCCTTGTCACATGTGCACACTTACGCCTGGTCTTAAAATAACAATGAGCCATGACACTTCTGCTTATTGCGGCAGAGCGTCTAGCTCTTCTTACTTTAGCTACTTTTTGAATGAGCCCTCTAGACCAGCCGACACCAACTTCACCGTCAGCACATGGCCAGAGTACAAAACGCACAGATTCTACTCCTTTGACCCTTTGACCCAGGCCCTCTACCCTCCCACTTTCAATCCCAACTCCTTCCCCGCTGAGCAAGCCCTGCAGTCTTCCTGGATACCCCGCGTCTCGTCGCTGTCCCAACATGAAGTCCCCGCCATCTCCAGGGTCTCCTTGACACAAGGCTCCCTGGACCTCCCTTGCTCCTGCCCCATCTGCCGATGCCATTTGGCAGTAGGGCTACTGGCAATGACCCATCCGCCAACCCCCGGGCTCCTCCGCTCTGCTCAGTGTGGCCTTCCACTGCCTGCGTGCTGCCGCAAACTTCTGTCACTTGTCTCTGTCCACAGAAGTTAATAGAGAACACGGTCTCTCCAGCATGGCCCTCCCCTTCCGGCGCACCGCCTCCCCCCACACACACCTTCCATCTCCCCCACCTCATTACCAACGCCACGTTTTCTCTCTTTCTCTCCCTCCGTCTGGACCCCCCCTTCCAAACTGTTCTGTCATTGATCCAGGCCCCTGTTCCATCCTCCCTGGGCTCCTTCCCTGAGAATCCAGGCGGGCAACCTGTGCAGTCACACTGGGCCCTGCACTTCGAAGAGCCCCACACTGGTTTCAGGCTCTGCTGCTACTGTCTTAAAATTCTTAATAATTTAACAAGAGGCCCCACATGTTCACTGTGCCCTGGGCTCCACAAGTTATATATCTGGTCCTGAGGAGAATAGATACTCATGTTTTCCATCTTAAAAGCTACATCTTTATGAAGTCTGACTCTCATTGGCTCATCTCTCCTTCCCTTCCTGATCAGTTTCTAAAAATAGAGCTGTATTCACTTCTCAGCATTCTGACCACCTCTTTGCTCCATGCCTCACGACATCTGGTAGGCAACCGTCCCTGCTGTTCTGAGGTCATCAGTGCCATCCAGGGAATGCTGCCTCTCTGCTACCCACTTCCGTGGCAGCGTCTGTCACCAGGGACCACTGCTTTCCCAAACTCTCGCCCTCAGTTTTGCAGGTTTTCCCACTCTGGGTTCACCTTCTCCCTCTTTGGCAGCTTCTCCAGTCCATCTGGACTTTGTTCTCCTCTTGAGAATAGAGCATCACAGATACAGTTACCTGTTAATTTATTCTCTGTGTTTCCACTAAATTGAGAGCTCCTCTGGGGTAGGAACCATGCTGTATTTAACCCCAAGCCCCCGCAGTGCCTGGCAGAGTTCCTAGTAAAAGCACCCAAGAAATGTCTGATGGCTGAGTGAACATCGGAGTCATCTGTGAGTCCTATATCTTGCATTTGGTGACTATGACCTGTCACTGAATCAGCCTCTGAAATATTTCTCAACTCTTCCTTCCTGTCTAGCCCTCACTTCCTATGCTGGTCCTCTAACGAGTCTCCCTTCCCCAGTCTTGCATCCCGCATTTGATCTTCCGCCGAACATCTCCCCAGAGCCAGTGATCATTCTAAGGTGTGCATTTGATGTGTCACACCTCAGAGTAAAATCCTGACATCCAACCCCCTTAGCTGACGCACAAGACCCTCTCCAATTGGCCCCACCCTGCCGCTGCGTGCTCATCTCTGGTCATTCCCCACTTCACATCCTGTGTGAAGCCACCCCAAACTTATCACACTTTCCTAAACAGACTGAGGTTCGTCATGGTGAACTTCTCCAACAGGAATGCTCTTCCCTCTCTAAATGACCAGCTAAACCCACTTATCTTGCAACATATTTCCAGAGTCATCTCTTCTAGAAAGCCATCTCTCTAACTGAACCCCAAACGAGGATTGTCTCTCCTCTGTGTCTCAAATTACTTTTGGCATGTCCCTATTCACGTAGCACTTTTCACATTGCATTGTAAATACATGCTTCCCTATAATGCCTACCCTACTAAACTATAAGACTTTCAGGATTGGAATTCACTTTACTCGATTTTAGTCTTAAGACTTTACATGGTGACTAGCATTTAAATTAACATTAATCCTTTGCATTTTTTAACCATATAGGTTATTCTTGATTCTTCTTATGGATTTTTTTCCCTGATAACTCCCTTGAAACTGCCCCCAGCAATAACGTTTCCTCGAATAACCAAAGTTTATACTTCTCAACCTATTTTTGAAATCATTCTTTTTTAGTAATGTAATTCAATCTCTTAGTTTAAACAGTCAAGAGTAATAAAATGTTATAACAAAAAAATCAACCCCCTATTTTACAACCCCAACCCCATCCCGCCATACTTTTTAGAGGTACTTATTTCTAAATAATGCAAGCATACCCCTATACTTTGATCTATGAGTTTCAGACAGTACACTGACTTTCTATCCTGCTGCATGAGGATTTTAGCTTCATTATAGACCACTGCCCCATCTCAATCTTCCCAATATAGTTTTATCATAATTTTAAATTCTTGCTCAGTGATTTTTTACATGATGATCATGTTAATATTGTTTACTTATGTGCCAAGCACCACTCACGATTACATGGCTTTTCTTATACAACTTTGTGTTTTTCCTGAAGTTCACATTCACCTCAATTTTTTCAATCGCTTTTTTTTGTTGTTGTTGAATAGCTAGTTATATATTTTCATACACCACCACACCGCTGAAATGCCTCTTTCTATTCTGTCAAATAATTTCCCGGGGCTCTCCTTTCCCCTAAGGTGTCCTTCTGAGAGACTCCCCACCTTTGGGGGCCCCCCATCTTCCTGCTCCAGTTTGGAGCGAGGCTCCCTCAGCTGTACCCTCTGGGAGATTTCCTTGGCGTCTCTCTTGTGTGGGAGTTCATGGTCCCTAGATCATTTGACTTACTCTTTATTTAATTTGTACTCTCCAGTTTTGTAAATATATTTCCTAGTCGCTTCCAGAGAAAAGATGAGTTTTTGAAAATTTTTACGTCTGAAGGTATCTTCATTTTCTATCCGCACACTGGCCTCCGTGTGGTCGTTTGGTCGGTCATGATGGCCACAGTAATTCTTCCTACCCCTTTTATTCCCACCACTCTGTAAGATGACTTTGCCACTCCTCCCACCAGAAGGTAGAGTCTATTTCCCCACTTCTTGATGGAGACAGCTTTGTGGCTTGCTTTGACAAATAGAATGTGTTGGAAGTGGCATTGTGTGACTTCTGAAAATAGGCCTCAAGATGCCTTACCGTATCTGCTCTCACCCTCTTGGATACTGACCTGAGATGGTCACGTGAAGAAGCCAGATCAGCCGAGGAACGGTGGCAAGAAAATTACTACTGGAGAATGGGGTATGGTTACCTGTGTTATGTAGCAGTGAAACAATTGGCAAAACAATTGCCTGCAGTAATGTGGAAGACAGAAAATATATGTGATAAACCTGTGGACTTGGGAGAGACGATCTCTAGACAGTATGTTGAAAATATCTGTTCGGTGTTTCTAGAAGCATATCATAAGGTACCGTGTTTACAAGTAGCATTTAGAGAAATAGAAAGGGCTTAAGGCTTGCTGGGTTGTAAAATAAAATGATTTCCATCCCCAGTCCGCCCAGCTAGCAAATGAACTTGGTAAAGATAAATTTTTAAATGTTGCTATAAGACCCTTTGTTAAAGTCTCAGTGACTGCCTAGTAGATCCTCGCATTTAGGCAAAAGGGCTTCTAAGAAACTTAAAGGTGTTTCATAGCAGCCTGACAGGCCCAAATGAAAAAGAATTATGGTTGTAGTAT